CAGACGACTTTCTCTTAAACTGAGTTGTGCAAGTGCTCTTCTCTGCTGGGATATTATGCAACCATTGTTGTTACTGGTTAAATCAAGCTCAATATTAGCTGAAATATCTTATTTAGACAAACACTTTGTTGTTATTTGCTGAACACTAATAAATAAAACAGTCTGTATAGGGGAAGTAATTATAAGTAGATTTATGACCAAAGAAAACATTAAGTGAATAAGTTAAATTGAGTTTATGGTGAATAAACAAGAGTCCTTCCAGTTGAAAGTCTGATGCACCTTAACCACGCCCAAAGTGATGTCACAGTGTACTGACACACCCTGGAGTCCACTGTGACATCAGAGCAGTGAGACGGGTCCGTAGAGGTCTTCAGTTGCTCTGTAAAGCTTGGATTGCTTTGTTAACCTTTGGGAATAATAAGCTCAAAGACTCACTTACTAACCATTTGGAGCTTTCAGCAATCTTCAGCGAATGGACGCCAAAATCCATACTTGGACGGAGAGAAGGGTTATGACCTTTTACACGAGTGATCTCACAGTCTATTTTCTACTTTGGCCTCATTTTACCATTGTGGTGATTGATGGTGTTCGTACTCACACACCCTCAGAGCAAACCGAGCGTCCAACAGCTGAACCCAAACAGAGATTACAGCAGGTTGCGAACTGCAGGGGGGACTACATTTGACATGTTATTGTCCATAAACATTGGAGTTTGGTCTGTAGAGGTGAATAACGCTGATGTAGCTCGGAGAACTTTAGTTTGCAGCTGTTCTTTCTGTATCTTCATCATCATGGGTCATGCCTAAAGTTGGGCTGTTATTGATGTATGATTCATGCATGAGGGTGATTCATCACTAATTCAATAAAGGATCTATTCTGCATGCTAAACCACTGAAGCATTGCAGCTCAATATCAGAAAACTCACTCACTTTAACTCAGATATCAGAATCAGTGTAGTCCCACTCAGGCCAAGTCACAATTATTCTTCTCATAATTGCCTTTCTCTGTATGTAGTGGGGTTGTAGTTCGCACACTGGATAACAGCACATGAACACTCAGACGGATCAGACTTGAGCATACTGTGATATTAGATATTACTGAAACTACAAAGACCCGAGCTTTAGGTCTGAGCTGCTGGTTGGAGCATTAAAGGCTCCTTTTTCCACATTCCTTTTCTCATTTTAAACTCATTGTCTCCACTCTGACTGCTGACAGTTTGTGTTTGCGTCCTGTTCTTCAGTCCGTCTGTCTCCCAGTTCACTTCCACCCTCTCTTGTTTGGGTGCTCTGACCTCCACACTGTCGATGTTTGTGGAGTCGGATGATGAGGAATGGACTTTTACCTCTGCATGTTTGTGTGTTGTTGTGTGTTTGTATGGATGGATTTTCTGTCATTTCTCTGGTCTCTGTCTCCCCCTGCCTGTCTCTCTGAGAGCCACAGTTACAGTGAATGATTGGGGGAGGACTGAGTGTCTGTGGCTCTCTGACTGGAGGAACTGTCAGTGTGGATGAAAAGCTATTTCCAGCAGACACTGTATGACATTTGACCACATTGAGTCGTTTATTAAATTATGTCCTGTGTTCAAGCTTTTCAGAAAGTAAGAAGTAAGAAATAAAAACTAGAATCAGAATTTAAAAAGTGAATCTGGGTTTTTACTTATACCAGCCAAAAAAAAACTGTTACAAACCTTTTGTTTGCAGCCAAACATACAAACAAACAAATTAACAAAAAAAAACAAAATGCACGATATTATCATGATAATAAATAAAATATACTTGTAATATAACACTAAAGTGTAATATCACATTTTCTTAAGAAACACATGTATCACAAATAGGCCCTTCATCTCCAGGTTCAGGATTGTGGACTGACTGGAGCGATTCATAATATCGTACATCACCCTGTTCCTAATGCCTGTACCTGCACCTTGAAGCAGTAAAGTTGTGAAGTAATTGCCCAAAAAGACCTTTATTTTGAAGCTTTGGTGCATGCCACCAACCCTCCCTAGCAAGTTCTGTGTTCCTGACCTTTCTAAAACTACAGCAGTGCTGGTAAACACACAGTTAGCTTAACGCTTAGAAAACAGTTCTGAAAATGTCCTTGTTATGTTGTGTTTAGGGTTGTGCTGAATTCACTGAGATCACAGCTAAAATACAGCTGAAAATGGACCTTTTATATGGATATATGGTCACCATGGATACTAGCTGACAGTTGTTTGTTTGTTGTTGTTTTCTTTAGTATCCTTTTATACATGTTGGATCTGTTGTCCATTCCATTATTTTGAGTAACCGGCTGATGTCATTGCTGTTGAGGTTATCTCTAAAACTCAGCAGCTCAACCAAAACAATGTAGCATGAATTCTTACAGAGGCTGAATGTCCTCAAACACATGATGGATGTAACGTGTTGTTCTTCAGGACCCGCTGGATCCTGGTCGATGTGTGATGGTGATTCGGTCTCTGGTTCCCGGCGGTTCAGCTGAGCGCCGTGGCGGTCTGCTTCCTGGAGACCAGCTAGTGTCAGTCAACCAGACCCAGGTGGACCTGCACACCCTGGCCGAGGCTGTGGAGGTCCTGAAGTCTGTCCCAGCTGGCACGGTCCGCCTGGGCATCCGCAAGCCTCTGGTAGTTCATCTAGACCTTCTAATGAGACTTCAGTTTGATCATTCTGTCCACAAGTGAAGCTTCATGAGTTGATCTGACCCTGTTTGTTCAGGTGGAGGGACCAGAGAGGAGGAGCCAGGGGTCTCTGAGCAACACACAACTACCTGTGCCAAAGGTCAGTGTCCTTTTTCTTTTCTCTCTCTCTCTCTTCAGTTTGCTTTATTGGTCTGGCTTTTCGCCATAAAGAGAAATACATAAATGTAAATAAGTATGTGTAGCGTGACGGGACCGGAGAGAGTTCTGACTGAATGTACGTCGCTGTGAAGGAACCACTGATGTACAGACACTGACGTTCTTTGTTCAATGTCCAATGTCAGACCTCCACTAGGGGTCGCCACGGTGTCACAGGGAGTCGTGAGATCTTCTTGATTTTAAGGGATGTAAGAAAACTTAAATAATATCCACAGCAGGCCGATATCTCAGTGTTTGTTCATTATTTAAGATCTAAACTTTGCTTCCCTGCTTTATGGTCTGTTTGACTCTAAATGGGAC